GTTTACGGCTGCATCCAACAGCCTCCTCGCGTCAAAGCCACCAGGATCTGGCGAAGACAAACAAGCAAGTCAATGATCAAGACATCACCACACTAAGGCACAAAGCAAGAGAAGGAACAAGTTTGGTGAGCAATGCTCATGAAGTTTTGATTGGAAACGCAAGTATTAGGTACATTCAGGTTCATCAGTGGCATCCATCATCAGGTCAGATTATCTCTCAATCTGCCAACCATCCACATCATGAACAAATCGCATCGAATCCGACCCAGAAGACATACACTCGATACAGTGTGTCAATAGCCATACCGAACAAATCGTAAAGAAAAATCCTGGTCTGGCAAACATCTGGGAACAGATCGAAACAAAGAAAGAAGCCGTGTACTCGTTGCGCAAGGTCTAGTCAGAAGAGACGTTGCGACCGTGTATGCGTCGGTGGGCAAACAGTGCTTACATCCAGCGCTTGCGGTTGCCCTGGGAGCCGTGGAACGGACCAGAAGAACCTCCTCGCCAGTTGTCGCTATCGGATCCACGGCCTGGACGACGCGGGGTACCGTTGCCGCTGCCGGAAGAACGAGCCATGGTCAGACGAATTGGCGCAAGATGGGGGTGCTCCTCGAAGTACAGCTGGATATGGGTCATCGGAATCGAGTCGAAGGGGATAGGGCCGCGGTGGCCGCCGCCGAAGACGTGCAGGTACCAGGCCTCGATCTTCTGCTTCTGAGCCTCAGTCAAACCGGCGAACTGGAGGGGAGCGGCGTGCTGCTGAGCGTGGTGCATAGCAGTCTGGTAGTTGTCGCGAGGGCTACCGCGGTCGAACGTGCTGAAGTGGTGGCGGTACTCCGTACCGGATGAGTATGCTCGAGGAGCAAACAGACCAGTGCTACGAGCACTATCGATGGAGCGCTGCAACTTTGAAATGTTGTCGGGGCGGGGGAGAGGCAGCTCGGTACCGGCGTGGCGAATGGAGTTCATCATGTCGGCCTCATCCTGGGTAATGAAGAGGCGGGGACGACAATAGGGAGTCTCCTGCATAACAGAAGAGTTCCGGAACTTCTGAACAAGCGCCTCGCGTCCCTGGATTGTCGCATACGAGATCCCGAACTTCTTGTCGGAGATGAAACCAGGCCAGTAGCGGAACTCCATCTCGAGGAGCATGAGCATGCCAGCGACGTCCGTAAAGTTGATGAAAGCGTAGCCGACGTTGGCACACTTCTTGAAGTCGATGCGGAGGTACACGAAGTCGTACGTTCCGAAGCAGATCTGATCCAGGATGTTCTTGAGTGTCATCTGTCAAAAGAGTTAGCAAGGCTTCGGGACAGACGTGGGAGGAAAGACTTACCCAGTCGCAGTTTGCCGGGATGTTGCGGAGCATGACAGTGGTGCGAACATCGCTGCCGTCGAGGATGCGCTCACGGCGGACACGGTTGTGCTCATCCTGGGGGTCTTCGTTGCGGAATTGACCGCGGTACGGGCGACGAGTATCGCCGCGATGTTGGAAGCGGTGAGGGCCCAGCGGACGCTCATCGACCCAGTCACCGACGTTGATGATGGACCAGAAGTACGATCTCTGTGAGAAGGTTAGCAAGAACAGAAGAGTTGGAGGTGAGGTGCTTACATCGGCACCGAAGCCATAAACTGGAGTGCGGTGAAGCGACTGGATAGCTCGCTGGGCGGCGTCGATAGAGTCGAACTCGATCCGGAAGATCAAGCGCATCTCATCGTGGACGGTGTCGACGTGGACGACGTTGCGAACGTTACCGAACTCCCTGGCAATGATGTCGACTTGGTTCTTGATGTCCTCATAGTCGTCGTTGGTGAACTCCCACACAGCGTGCTCGGGGTTCGCGTCGATGAACATTGACAAGAACATCTGGCCTTCGTACGGTTGGATATCGCGGATGTCCTTGGCCATGGAGCGCGCGAGGTCGTCCATAGTGGCGTAATGGGTGGCGAAGCCGGCCTGGATGAGTAGGTCCCGAGCTTCGATGGCGTCGGAAAGGCTGTCGAATCGAATGAAGATAGCGGCGTGAGGGTCTTGGAGGAAGATGGCCGAGTGCTTGAAGCAGTCGTACTACAAGAGGTTAGTGTGAAGCATGGTGGAGGAAGGGGACGACACTTACGCGCTTCATCTGGTTCTGCACCAGAAACTTGAGATGCTCTGCATCATGGCCGCCTTCGACGTACAAGTACCGAGAGACGAAGGTGTTGACGAACTCATCGAGCTCATCGACAAAGGCACCCTCGACATACGCCGGCGGCTCAGGAAGAAATTTCTTGGCAGCCTGCTTGCCGATAGGGATTGCGGTCAGTTGACGACGGTGGTGAGGCTTGCGCTCGACATCCGGAGAGTATACAGTCGGGTTGGTGCCCTCGAAGGGGGATGAGGGAGGACCGTTGGCCGACGAGGAGTTTGGTGAAGGGTGAGACATCTTGAGGTGTCGATGAAGGGTCTTGGTATTGTACAAGAGTGGATGTAATGAAGGCAAGAGATGGATGATTGGCAAAGCTCAAGCAAGGAGTCTGTCAATATCAGGTGTGGATGGGGATTTGGGTGGGTGTGAGTGGGCAAGAGATGGAAGGCGCGGGGGAAGGGCTGTTTATATACTGGCACTAGCGCCGAAGCTCCGGAGGTCAGGTGACGGCAGTATCTGAGGCCAGAGAACTCACCGTTCGGATTGGGAGCAAAAGAGTCAGAGAGAAGGTCGTGGTGAGGAAGTCGCGGCGAGGCCTGGCGGAGGAACTTGAAGGAAGCGATTCGGATATCCCACAACTCCAGGAGAACCACCAACCGAACGGGGCCAGACGAGCATGAGGAGATAGCGCTCGACGAGCTCTACAACTTCTGTTTTTCAGGCATACGAGGCATCAATGGAGTTGGTGATGCATCGCAGCTGCAAGACGAAGCCTGAGGTTGAAGTTCCATCCCTCAACCGCTTTTGCACGTTATCTCGAGGACCCACTCACCGGTTCTAGCGTCGTCCAGGACGTCTGGCCGCGTAATAGCGGGCACCGGAGTGGCAAGACGACAGGAGTGGCAGGAGCGTGAAGGAGCGCCGGAGATGTGAAAGTGCGTGAGAATGGTGCAAGAAGAAGCCTGTGCAGCGAGTTGGAAGATGGATAGGAGTGCTGTGAGCTGCTTAAATGTCTACGTGGCATTGCCAAATCTCCCTCTCATCCACGTGGAAGTGAGAGAAATTGCCAGGTTTCATTGACCGAAAGCTGGAGAACATCCTCAGACACGCCTTGGAAGCGTGTTGGTGGATCACGATGTCCGCGGGGAGCTCATGAGGCCGGCACATGCACATTGTCAGCTGGAAGCGTGTGCAACGAGCGGGGGGCGATCAAGAGTATGATTCCCAGACGCGTAAGCTTCTCCGCGTCATTCTGTTTGTTGAGGCAGCAGCGGCTGCTTGTGCCAGGCAGGAAACAAACACGGTCATTCTGGGAAGGCACGCTGAAGCGGGGCGGAGAGCAACTCCAAAGCTGAACATCGTGGAGACAGTGAGACTCCAGAAAACGTGGCATCGGGAACCAGCTTCTTGGGCAACATAATCTCACCCCTGAGATTCGGCAGCTTCTTGTGACGCCAAAGGCCGCGGGGATGGTGCTGAGCCCGCTGGACAAGCAGGCGCGATTTCAAGCATGCGGACAGCTTCACAGGGGCGCGGGCATGATCATTTGCATGGTTGGGAATGAAGACCGCCACAGGAAGGACGAGAAGATCACCAGTAGAGACTCAGCATCGTGTGGTCACTCATGAACATCGCATGACAAACCTGGGACTGCTAGTCGCGAGGCTGCGCGAATGGCCCCTTCAAGGCCCAGGGTCTGGCGGGCTGGCGGGCTGGCAGAGCGCGCGACGAGAACATCACGATCTTTGCGGCAGGCAGGTACGAGCGACTTCAAGATGTAGACCGGGGGCGTCTACTACTCCAGATCTCTAGCTACTGCATTGCCCCTTTCCCTCAGACCAATTCCGGCATGTTGGCTGTCCGCGACCAAAGGTACAACTCGACCAGGCAGGTCAGGGAGACCGTGCGACGGGACCATCACCACCCTCATCAGGAGACTATGCGACTCGTGAAACCAGCAAGTACGCGGAGATCGTGAAATGGCCCTGGCCTGTAGCTACTGGACTGCCCCTTTTCCGGTAGAGTCGCGCCTGCCATGTCTGTTGTCCATTGTCTGTCAACCTTTTCCGCCTCTCCTCAACTTCAGTATCGTGTCAACACTACGCCGCCATTCGTATTATGACTTGGAGCTGCTGCCATTGCCGTCGGCGTTGTGAGATGGGAGGGACTGTCAGCCTCGTCGCTGGCGGACAGGGCGCTGCCTCCTCCGCTGTCCGACTCGACTGCGACTTACCCTCGACCCAAGGCCTGGCAATTGAGTACAAGATCCTTCTCATTGTCCTGCCGCATAGTCTCCTTCCCATTGTGTGCCTCCGCATGCCTCTGTTGTGCCTCCACCTTGTATACTCGGTCTCGTCGTACGGTCCGGGCGCTCGTGGCAGCGGCTTGAGGCGTATACGATCGCAGGTTAGGAGGACGATGGCGGTGTCTCGAAGGAGGGCGGTAGCTACATCGCGCTGTGCAAGGGCTCGTCGAAAGCGCGTCGCCGTAATGAGGGCGTCGGGGTAAAGTATGTACTTCACCCTCGCCGATGCAGACCCCACTTCGGATATCCTACACCAAAACATTAGCTCGCCTCCCTCTCAATAGCAGCAGGCCGTCCTCTCAGCCTCGCTGAATCCCGCCTTCACCGTCACTACGCGTAAAGCGCTCAACAATAGCGAAGCCAGACCGTCGCCAAACGCAGTCTTGGCACCCCCAAATCGCCCACATAAAAGCTCGAAAACCAGCTTCCCCAACACCCCAAACCAGCACCAACAAGCCCATCACCATCATCACAACAAGCTCAATTACTACCACTACCACCACCACTACTACTACCACAAACCCACCTTCCCTCCTCACCCCCGCATCTCCATCAACCAAAAGATGGAAAACTTCACCATCAACCTCTCCGACCTCCACGTCCCCTCCCTCGCGGAGTTCCCGCACCTGCCGCCCGCCGACGACTCCCCGGCGCAGAAGCGCCTCTACTGGTTCTTCCGCGGCCTCGAGGAGATGGCGAGCAAGCTGTACGAGCGCATCGAGATGTACCAGCACCTCGAGGAGACGCTGGACGAGGAGGAGGAGGCGGAGATCGAGGAGCTGCAGAAGGGGGTTCTGGTGGTGTTGGCTGCGGTCAACTGGGCGGGCAGGCTGTACGGTGGGGAGGAGTATGAGGATGCGGTTTGAGTGGTAAGTTTAGTTGTGGGTGACATGAATTGGTGCGGTTTTGCTAATTTGGTTTCACAGATTTGGGGATTTTGGGCGGGATTGGTGGGTGGGCGGACGTGAGAGGGGAAGAGGCGTTTAGGAATGTGTTTTGATACCCAGGGGTGTTTTTTTGTGGGCGTTTGGGATGGTGGTGGGATTGAGGATGGGGGGTTAGTGGATGCGGCAGCTATGATGAGCGTAAGTCCGCGAATGAACTAGTTTACTCATGAGTTTTGACTTGTCATTGATGTGGTGTACCTGGGATGTATTCAACGTTTTCATGTTGGGCTGTTGCTTGTTCCCTGACCCTATGTAGTCATGATGTACCATAGACGCACTCGAGAACGCCAATTTGAGGACACCATGTCTTCGACGGCATGCTTCATACTCCTACGAAGATGCTCATATCTCACACTGACTACCTCCCCGCGACACGATGCACAAACTTCTATCACATGAAATTACATCGAAGGCATACAGGCCTCACTCAACATTTCACGCAACATCAGACCAATCCAGACAAACATCAATGTCAATAGCTATATACTAGGGTATCACAATCCAAACGCCCCACTCTCCCTCAAAAACCCATACCCACATACCCACATACCCATCTCCAAGAAAACCCTCATCTACTTCCTACCCTCCCCCTCCCCCTCAAACATCCACCTATCATCCTCCAAACTAGCCACCTTCTTCTTGAGACTACTCTTCAACGCAGCCCGAATCTCTTCTTCCACAGCAACAGCATCCCACTGCGCGTTTGTCTTGCCGTACAGTTGTATCATTTCGTTTTCTTGCTCTGTTCACATTCGTACGTCAGCATTTCTTATACCACCTTACACCAATATCCGCCTTCTCATCTCGTTGCAAAGAAAGGGAGTGGGATCAACATACCACCCTCCTCATCCCCCTCACTGCCCACGCCCATTTCCCGGTACACAGGCGCCGGCGCTTTGACAATGTATTCACCAATATCGTCGCGCTCGACAAACTCGTCTTCGGTGGGCTGCATGAAGATGTCTTGTTCTATTTCGCGGCTGTCGGGGCGGATAGAGGGTGCGGCTTGGTTCTGGCGACGCGCGGGTTGTTGTTGCGGTTGTGGCTGTTGTTGCTGGGCGGTGTGGGCGGCGAAGATGTTGCGGCGGGTTGTTGGGGGGAGGCGGATTGCGCGGTTGTCCATGGTGGTTTGGTTGGGTGGGGTTATGAGGTTACGCAGGTGTTTTGTTCGGAGAGGTGTAAGGTGGGATGTTGAGTGAGGTCGATGTTGGTGATGCTTTGGTGTTGGCGGGATGAATGGCGCGCCGTAGCTAGTCAGGTACAAGCGTTTGGTGGGGCGGCTGGGGTTTGGCATTGCGACACTCCCGCGGCGAAACCTGAGGCGCGTCTTCGTGACACCGACAGCAAACAACGGAATCATGGCCAGCTCAATTCCAGCTGCAGCCTCTACGGATCTTCCTGCGCAATCGCCAAGCCCACCGGCGGATACAGAAGATCGATCGCCGCCCCGGAAACGACCCAGAACTCGCGCGCCTCCGAAAGCAGCTGCTCCAGCCTCAACTCCGGCGACGAATACAGAAATGCCGACCGCTAAGAGCGCGGCTCCGGGGCCTGATACTCCAGTTCATCGCTTCTCGATACAGCCTGTCAATCGCTTCCGCGGCGCGTCGGCCAAGATAAAGCGCCCTCGCGAAGTCGCACATTTCTCATACGACGACAACCACGAGTACCAGCATGATGAGTCGGGCATCAACTACTACATACCACCTCCAATGGGCGCAGATCTTAAGGAGGGCTTCGAGACGTTCAAACACTATGAAGACAAGGAAGATCCCCATCTGGACAGTCTGCTGAGGGCGCTCATGGAAGACAAGACGGGCAAGGAGGAAGTCACGGCCGACTTCATGACCTGGCGAGGCATGATGACCAAGGTATGTTGAAGCAGGCCGGCACAAGACATAGCAAGGTAAGCGAAACCAGCTTTCTTACCTTGCTGCTGCTTTGAATTCACCTCAGTTACTAACACCCCCAGATAATGACCGCCCCCTTCGACAACTTCGCTGAATTCAGCATGTTCGCAACCCTCCACAACAACACAATCTACATCGAAGAAGACTTCCCCTCCCGAGCCGCCGACCGCGCAGCAGAAAGCACGCGCCCACCTCCCCGCCACCAACACACCGACCAGCAATCGCGCGAAATGATGACATACTGGGGTTACAAATTTGAGAAACTCGCTCTCATACCCACGCTACCTCAAGACACACCACGAGAAGAGATTGAGCGGTCACAGAAAGGCGTCGTGTCGAACCACGCACAGCACTGCTCCATCGTCCACACATCCTTCGGGCCCCACAGCCTCATACTAGGCGGCGAAGTCGACGGCCTCCTCGCGCCCAAACCCACGAACCCGGATGAGCAGGTGCAATGGGTCGAACTCAAAACAAGCGAAGAGCTTCCTCCCCCTCGCCAACAACAACACCGCGACATCCTAAAGTTCGAACGCAAGCTTCTCAAGTTCTGGGCCCAGTCTTTCTTGCTCGGCGTACCTAAGATCACCGTGGGCTTTCGGAGTAAATCAGGTATTCTAAGGAGTCTACAGACGTTCAACACGCATGAGATACCGGGTATGGTAAGACAGGGGACGGGGTGCTGGGATGGGAATGTGTGTATCAATTTCGCGACGGAGTTTCTGGGGTGGTTGAAGGGGGTCGTCATGGGGGAGGGTGTTTGGAGTGTTGTGCTGAGGAAGAAGAGTGGGGTTGTGGAGGTGAGGAGGGTGGGTGATGGGACGGGGGATATCGTGAGTAAGGAGTTCAAGATGTTTAAGAGTAAGGGGTCTGAAGTTGGGCAAGACGGTGGAGAGGGAGGCGAGGCGCAAAAGGATGGAGATGCTGCGGAGCATGTTGAGACATCTTGAACGCATGTCTCGGCTATGGCTCTAAGAGACGTTTCGTGGATATGCTACTGTCCAATCTGAAGCGCGAAGTTGCCCATCCCATCATATGCAACAACGAAACCATGGTCGGCATGAGATATCCACCAGCACACAACCACCATGATCCCGCGCTTTAGCTTTGACTGTTTTCTTTTGATTCACAACCAGCCTGCCTCGATCCCCACTACACACCAGAACCCAGCTATCCCTCACCCACATCCAAAAATATCCAACACCAGACTACTCCATCACCTCCAACCTTCACACTTTGTCTTCGATAACGCCCAAGTTACACCCCAAACCCCCACAATGCCACCCACCCAAACCACCTCCGCACGCCGTACCGGTACCCGTACCTGTCGCTTCATCCCCACCCCCTGCATCCACACCGAAGCCCGCCTACTCAACCCTGATATTTTGCAAGTCGTGGAGAAGGCATCAGCCCTCAGCATCGCACACGAAATAGCACAGCGGGGCCTCCAGCTTCAACATATCGACAAACTGTTTGAGAGGCGGGACAGAGCGGTGGAGACGCAGAGGGATTTGATGAGGTGGATAGACGGCGTTAAGGTTGAGAGGGAGAGGGAAGAGGCTAGACGGGTGTATGATGGGGTGGAGGGTGAATGGGAGGACTTGGGTGGGGTGGAGGTGGAAGGGGAGGGGGTGGTGCGGGTGTTGGTTGTTTGAAGGGGAGATGGGAAGGGTGGTATTTTTGTATACTTATTTCCAAGGTTCTTCGCCCTCCAGCTCATCGATGTATGTCTCATCATCCATAGGTTCCCCTTGCACCCATCGCGCTGCCAATCGTCCTGTCTCTTCTCCTACTCTTTGCGTCCTGCTAGCGGGAACGACATTCATCCCATGGTTCGCATCGGTAACAACAACAAGCTGCGATTTCGCCGTCAGCTTATCCCTCGTGTCGTTCAGCGTATCGATTGGGCACATAGCGTCTTCATCGCCACTGATGAACAGTATGCGGACGCTCTTTGGTAGGTCGAGGAGAATTTGGTCGCGCAGATCGTCTTTAGGGCCGAGGAGCGGGTAGGAAACGAGTATGAGCTGTACGTTCAACTCTTCTGCTTCTTTTTCGCCTAGCGAGGCGAGATATTCGGTAGCAGCGATGACAGCAGCGCGCGCACCCATGCTTCGTCCGCCTAATAACAATGTCTTCGCCCCAGCCGTGTCTTCTTTTGCTCCCTTTAGTGCAGTCGATTGAGTGGAGTTCAGCTCATCAATACATGCGTGGAAGCCCTTAGTGCGCGCTTTGAGGTTCATCGAGCCTTGGAATGCGAGAATGGGGAGAGAAGAGGAGTATCCGGTGCAGAAGTTTACTACGGCGTCGGCGGAGAGTGTGCCACCTGCGCCGTGGGTGAATATTAGGGTTGGTGGTGGACTGGATGTCGATGATGTGGGACTGTATTGATGACATTCGATTGGTTTCTTGACGAGTTCTTGTGTTATGGTGAGGTTTGTGCGATTCTGGGGTGCTAAGTCGCTTTCTTGATCGGGCTGCGCGTTTGCCTCTGGTTTCGCATCCTTTGGTGAACGCTTCTTGGGATTAGCCGCCGGTCGTCCTTTCGATGCCTTTGGTTTCGCCTCAGGCGATTCGCTTGTTGAGTCTGGTAAGTCTTTCGCATTTCCTGTGTTTGTCCTAGCAGATGAGCGCGTGACACGCCTCTTGGGATCGGGTATCAACGCCGAATCAGACATCTTTTGGCGTTTTGGTGGCATGTTCGTGGTGGCTTCAAGGTGCGCACTTGTTCGATTGCGACGGTCCTGATATCGGTCTCAAGTTGGGCCTATTGCCACCAAACACAAGAAAGATCGAGTGAGGTTTGTTTGATGAGAACAGTCGTGTCTGCCTCAGGGCCTCGTCCGCGCGTTGGAAGTTGCTGTGACGTAAGTGACGTTCAGCCTCCCAGCCACTTCCCAACCCCTGCACTACCTCACATTGCTCCGGGATAATCATCCAAATTGGAACGCAGTCTAAGATCTGGAGTAACGCAACTGAATACTGGTAAATCTCTCCATTATATGACAGATCACCTTCTTTAGACATCAGCCACTTTACCAGCCACCAACACAACAAATGCGCCCAGCTCAACCTGTTTGCTCGACTGTACACATGCTGCATTTCTCATGCGAGCATATGACGCAAACGCTCTGCCACGGGGCTATGGGGCCGTCGCCACATGCGGAGCAATACCAGACCATGCTTTTGCTATATCCGGTGCTGACTGTATACATGCTTGGCGTATATGAAGCAGTCACTGCAGACTGAGCCGTTGGGGCGCTCCCTTCACTGTTATGGATATCTGTCATTCCACACATCTCCTTCGTATGATCCTCAGATCCACATTGTGTGCAATTTGTTCTATCAGGCGCCTCGGGTGCGGGTTCAGCTTCATTCGCTAACGGTCCAGTTGTCGCCAGATCATTCGCCGTAGTCGCTGAACTTGTGATCGTGGTGTTGTTCATCATGTGTAGGATGGTGTTTATCTCCGAATTACTGTTAGGTAGCCTTGCTAGTCGCGCGTCGAGGACATGATTAACGTCATTGAGAATATCGCAAAGAGGTACCACATAGACATCTCCGAGTGAGTCATCCGCGACCACTTGCCCGAAAACAGTTATTTTTCTGTCCATTTGTTCGTTCGTCCGATCTGCTATCGGGCTTTGTGGCGGGGCGCTACTCGCTGGCTCGGTCATCTCCGTCGTTACCCAGCTACCCGAGGTACCTGCCGGTATCCCTATAGTTTGTTAGTCAGCTACCTCGATATATGGGCTAACGGCTTACTATGAGAGTCGCGCGTTGTGATCGTGTGAACCCGGACGAAGTCGCTCCCATAGGACAGTATCGCAAACGATGGATGACGAGACAGCTTTCCGATGAACGCAGGTTGAAGACTGATCTTAGCCTCATCGTCTGCCAATAAAGTGCCAAATCTAGGCTCGCCCACAAAGTATCTTTCAACGATTTTGCTGTCTTGAATCCCGCTGCCAGGTTGGTCCGCTATGGCTTCCAACAAAGCCCAATCGCGATCGCATGCCTGCGTCGAAAATGACGCCGGTGCAACCATGGCGGTGCCTGACCACTCGATTTCTTCCTGTGCATCGTTGAAAGGGCTGTAGGTAGCGTTGTGCATAGTTTGGTTGGCCGCTGACTGCAGGACTTGTGAGGGTTCATAAGTGATGAGATCAGGGAAGAGATTTTGACCTGCGTTAGGCTCTCCGCTTGCCTGCTCGCTCTCGATCTCTCCTTCGAGATTGTCTTGAACAATGCTATGGCCAGCAGTCAAGCCGTATATGGACAGTCGACCATCCTTGCCAACCACAACAACGTAACCACCCATTGTAGCGTATCGAATTCCATGGATTCCATCGATTTTGAGAGGAGTATCCCTATATCTCAGGCGCTCAGTAGGTGAGTGGCCCGTGTTGATAGAAGTTGGGTGAACATGATGCGATGTGGTCAGTTGTATCGGGGTGCCTTCAACAATCACATCGAAAGATGCTGGACCGTCCTTGCCAGGTTGACAAAGTCGCTTGGGAGTGTCTCTCCGGAAGTAGTTCTCCACTATATCTTGTACCTGTGCTGGGCAGAACACGACAATGTAAGGTTTGGCCGAGCTTTCGTCCACACCCAAGACTAGCAGACGAATAACAAAGGGGCGAAAGCCTTTCTTAGATTTGCGTAGGACATCCAGTAGCGGGCGTCTCAGCCGTTTTATGATGTCCTCAAAATAAAGAGAGATTACCTCGTTGACGTCCTTCTCAAATCGCGTCAGGCCCCTAATCTCATCGAGAGGTTTGCAAGCGGTGTTGTTAGCGATCGCAGCGTTCGGGGAAGCTGTCGTGGATGCGGGAGCCTGCATGCTGCACAGTAAAGGTTGTCGAAGGACTTGAGAGCCTAGAAAGGTTGCAGCTTTTTCGGGGCTGGGGAAGGGGTTACATGTCGGGTTACGAGCGAGATGATCACACCGATGTTCATACTCCAGCGCGAAAAGTCTGCCCGAAGGGGTACCCAAAAGAGTGCCTTGTCATCTGAAGGTTCAGTACGATGTAGCATAGCCACGTCAGTTTGCATGTGTGGCGACCAATCATGCATTTACCTCGCTCAGCCTCGTGTGCGCCTTGACAGGCTGAACTTCCAAAACATAAAGTGGCCTTGATGCCGCCTTGCACCTTCGAACACCGTAAATACCTCAAACCCATCATCCAATGACAATCACTCCCATGTCGGTGTTCCCCTTGGGAACGGTCAGTTCCGGACAACTGCAAAATTTGGGCAAGGCAATGTGGAACTGGAACATCTGCAGCGCTTGTAACGGGCACGCGCTGTGTAGCCGGTCGGAGTGTCCATGGAGTAGAGCAGCACGTCTCTACACGTTCTGGCAGCGTTATAGAATACTGACTGCAGAGTACGCGCCAGAAAATGCCACATTCTCATGTCCAGCCTTATCGTCACATGATGATCTTCTGCGACTCATCCAGGCTATCATGAACGGCCCAGATCTGAACCGGGACCGCATAGTCGAATCTCACTTCTCTGCCCCGAATTCCAACGGCATAATCTGTACAGATGCTACCGATCGAGATCGAGCGATGAACATAGCAGCCAGTATTGTGTTCATGACCAACTGTGGTGCTGATTTCTTCGAGGAAGATGGCCCATCCATATCGTGGCGCAGCAACATGACTGCCACAGCGTTCACTTCCGAGGCGTTCCCGCATGCCACTCCTGGTTTTCTAGCGAGCAGCTTGAGAGATACCAGATTCTCTGATCTCCTCCGATCCTTGGCTGCTAGCAAACTCGTGCAGGCTGGGTTCAGCCTTGAACCAACCGATGATCTGCGCAACCACTTAACAATCGATTACAGTGGAAGAAAAAAGACCATCCGGATTTTCCACTGTTCTGCCGTACTGAAGGAGATGTTGTTAGCAAGTCGACCAGATGGGAGTCGCTGTATGATCCCAAGGTTACTCGCATTGGAAGTTTTGGATACACTGCACAACATCCTCTTTCCGGACGACCAGTCTGAAGCACTCATTCCGAAATACGGGTTTGATTCAGATCTGCGCCGACACGATGTGTCCCAGTGCCGGCGGATGGACGACCCCACCGAGGTCGAACACATCTATTTCGGATTTCGGTTAAAAGAGATCTACGACGAGATGCAGCATCCAACTCCCCATCAAGCCTGGGAGCGCTGGCTTGAGCGAAAGAGTGGCGGAAGATATATGTTGATGGCAACAATGATCGGGGTCTTCATCGCGGTAATCATCGGAATCCTTGGCCTCGGTATCTCCGGTTTCCAGGCTTACGTGTCGTACCAGCAGTGGAAGCATCCTGTAAAGGATGCATGAATGGAGACGTATGTTTCGAACGTGGAACAGGCGGTGACGGGTGCGTAGAGACTTTCCCCGATGGATTTCGGTGATGGCACGATGCCGAAAGACAGAGAAGAGAAATGGGATAGTGGGGAAAAATGGGTGGCAGGGAGGAACAAGCGAGGTGGCAGCCGCGCCCGCGCATGCGACGCGGCTCCTCGAGATAGCACGAACATCGTACTACTTACGATTCACGCACGACAACGACTCACATACTGCATGCATCAGGCAGCAGTGCGTACGATACTTCCCTTGAGTGACAGGTATACTGAGTAGTTTCTATCTTTTTACTCTGACTCGGGAGCCGGTCGCGACCCAATGCTATGACAGTTCCGCGAAACGACCGAGGACCATCAGATGTATAGTCATCTTCATTTTACGAATTGTCGGTCAATGACAAATGTCACAGTGTTGCCAGAAATCCGGTTTGACTTTGTTGAAACTTCCTCAATCATGCGAGGTATCACTGATCAGCTCTTGGCCATCACATCTGGGCATCACCAAAGACACGAAGCCGGTTTCCTACGGTACTCTGTAGGGCTAGGTACGGTACTTTGTGAAAAGAAACTCTTCGTATTCGTCTCCACGATGCCCGTTAAAGCAAGATGTTTCATGGCGATCTCAATAGAACAATGCAAAGTCCCGAAGCAGCGTCGGAGTCCCCATTACTCGCCGGCTTCGTATCGCACCCTCGAGTCGCCCTCCAGCTCTATGCAACGCAAACTTCCATCTCCATAGGCGGGATAAAGATCCGACGAATAGGAAGTCTACCCACAAAGGTGACTCGTAGCGATGCGCCGGCACGAACAATTTACGTCTCAACTGCCATTGCCAAGCACTAGCACATAGGCGTCCAACTCCTCCCTTCCAACAACCCGCGCCATCTTCCCTCAATGTATATACATTTACCCGTCCTAAGGATCAAGATCCCACTCGGATCTATTCCAAGCCACCCCGTCCTGCACAGCATTCTCGCACAGAATGCCTGGTTCAGTAATCCCTTTGTTAACCCACAATGGCCCTTGCTGCTCGCTTCCAAGGTTCGCTACTGATTGGCCCGGCTACCGCAGCTCGCGAATCGAGATCCTTTCATCGATGTGCAATGCAGATAATGATAACGGCAGATGGGGCGTTGCGGCACCGGTTAGTCGAGATGTGATAGCGATGATGTGATGATGGTCGTTATTCATTAACGGAGGGTTCCCCGGCGAGCTGGGTTGGACTGCGCAGCGGCATGTGATGTTATGCCGTGTCTTTTAGCGTAGGAAGGTGGCGTAGTGATGATTTTGTGATCATTCTTGAGGTGAGAATTCCATGTTCGGGTCGTTAAGAAGTCGATGTCTAGGATAGCCATGTAGTTATCGTGTTTCGAGGTTAGGTTTGCAGGAATAGTCGTACGATTGCGCAGCCCAAGCCGAACCGTTGAGAACAACGTATGATAATGCACCGGGTGGATGCATGCGATTTGTTGAGTGAGGTCATTGAAGCACAGTGTTGGATAATGTTATTGATTTATTTGATTCGTCGCGCGTATCCGCAGTGTTTAGGGTTAAGTGGTTGCTACTATGGAGCACTAGCTACATGCATCGGGTTATAGTTGTACAAGGGTATGGCGGTAATGGAGAAGCAGAACAACGCGAACAAGAAGAGATTCATGCAATGCAGTGCGACTAGGTATCGTAGACGACCATGCGGAATAGAGGAAATAAGGTGCTTTTGGTATTAGAGCCACCACAAGAGACAGAATGAATGAAACACGTATACAGAATTCCAGTAACATAAACAAGGAGAGCGAAAGATCCAACTCCTACTGTATCCATAAGGAAAGTGGGTAACCAGTTACCGCGGGGTGCCAACATGCAGGTATTGAACAAATACCGCCTTCGCCAAAGGAAATGTCGCTAAGGGGGTATCGCAACCAAATCATCCTCCATGAATGTCTCGTATATGCTCTGTAGATCGTGGGTATATCTCGATAAATGTGTGAAATGATGCAATGCGACGGCACCCTAATAACCATGGGGCGCGTTAGATGTGTACTTTTGCTCGGGGGCGTACTTCTGGTCCGTCACGTAATAAGAGTGAGGATGGGGAGCCGCAGGGAATTGCGGCGCGTTGAATGGCTGCACGGCCACAGGCGCTGAAGCCCTCCTTTGTTGGTCGGGTTGCGATCCGGGGACCTGAGCGTGATGAGGACCGACTGGCGAGTCTTGGGAGGGCAAGGCATGAGCGTCGAAACCCGCGGACTGAGGTAGAGCGTACGGAGCTGGTTGCGGCGTCTGGTATGCCGAGGTGGGCTGAGTATACGAGGTCGCTGATGTGGCCGATGGAGGGTCGAAAGAGTAGTGACGCGCAGACTGTGGTTGCGGCGCATAGTGCGAGGATGGAGCTGCGTGTGAGGAGTACTGCGAGCTTGCGGAATGTGGGGAAGAATATTGCTGGGGAGATGGCGGATGCGTGAAGTGCTGCGACGGAGGCTGCTGGACGGAGTATTGATGTGCCGGTTGGTGGGCCGAGAATGGAGGCGCGGCATAATGTTGGGGGCTGTGGTGACTAGAGCCATACTGGGACACCTGAGGCCCATGCCAGTAGTCGGGAACTGTTAAGTGGAGAGGAGCATGTGTCTGGAGCTGGCCCTGTGCGCCGATTGACTGGGTAACAGCTCCAAGAACGTGGTGCTGGACATGGCTGGGCTGGATGTGGTGTGGGTAGCCAGCTACCAGGGGCATGTCTTTGCTCTCTTCATCTTCAAGACTGACCTTCCAGCCATTCAGAAGCTCCGGTCTTGGCTGAATGTCGGCTAGCTTTGGGTCCTGGAATGGCCGCTTCAACTTCCCGCTGACGACGTCCTCGAGACTGTAGTAGGAGATGACGTGGTGGTGGGTACCCTGGTACTTGACTGAGATAGTCTTCTTCATCAGACCGCCCTCCTTGAACTCATAGCTGTCGATGAGGGAGCCACAGAATCGTCGCTGTTGGTCGGGCGTCAAGCTTTGGGCGAAGTTGGCGTAAACCTTGTTCATGGAGTCGACATCGCCTGGCAGGGACGCGTCGAAGGCTGAGTTCTCGTATTCGTCCTCGGAGTTCTCCAACACTTCACCAGTCTTGGACCTCATTGGGCCGTTGTTCTCCTTGCGCTTCCTCTTGGTACCGCACGATGGGTTGAGGGCCGACTTCTTCTCTTCAGGCTTCAAAGCTCGCACCAGCTGGCGATATATGAGGCAGTTGTTCATCACCCGACTTGGGGACCAGTGCACAGCATCGGTCCATCGTTTGATACCGGAAGCGTTCTCCTCGTACACCAAGACGGTTCCAGAAGTGAGCATCTCTGCGCGTTCCTTATCATGCGGCCTGCGGCTGATATGGCTGAGACGGCCTTGAAGTGCGGCCTCCACAACGGTCATGGCATCTTTGGTGGTATCGAGGAATCCCTGCCACGTAGGCTTAAAAGCCGGTTGTGCTTTGACCATGTTACCTGTAACCT